GGAAGGAAGGAAAGAAGGAAGGAAAGAAGGAATGAAGGAAGGAAAGAAGGAATGAAGGAAACTCAAAGAGAAAGAAAGAACAAATGAATGAGTGAATGAAAAAAGAAAGAAAAGAGACAGAATGGAAAGGAATGACAGAATGTTTGTTCTTGTTATTCTAAATAAGTTCCAGCCAAGACATTTCATACTTACCATCCAGTTGACAGAATTCTTCTTCATCTTCATCATGCTCATCCCATGACTCCAGAGCAAGTTTATCTTGGTAACTGAAATAATAGAGACACTGGTCTAAGTAGAGCAGTTTTCATATCCCTGTGAAAAACTTGGTGCTGCATGCGTGCATTGCTACCAACTTCATGTTCTCTAGAATTTTGATTGGCTTGTCTAATATGATTGGTCTAGCAGTGCAGTGACTTCAACGTGCCTAGGTTTGCACCATGCTCATGCAGTGTTTCAAGTACATGATTGAATTAACAGATCAAAAACAGTTTTCCGTGTTTGATTTGTTTTATAAAATAACAAACGCGCGAAAAGATCGAAAAAAAGCAAAGTCTAAGTAAATTCTCCCTACGTGCTGTCTTATTCAAACTGACCAATGAGCGCGCGCGATAGATTAAAAATGACGATAATGTGTTTTGATACTCTCATCAAACATGGTTTTCGACCAATCATAGTGCGCATTGTATCCCAATTATTTTATAATTGACATTAAACTCTTGACATATTGTGATTGGTCTGGCATATTCCTTGCCATGCCAGGACAACATTTTTACTGTGAGGTTTTCACAGTCATACAACTGCTCTAACAGAAAAGATACCATGCACCATTAAAAAAATCAAAGTATGCTATGAGACGAATTTTAAGAAAAAAATACCTTATTGTGTTGTCAATGTTGCCAAGAGTTGTGTTATCTGGTTCAGAGCATCTTTCATTTTCTTTTTCTCCCTGGAATGATTAATATAAACATAAATAAAAAATATAGGAATGAAGGTAAGAAGACAGGGAGGGAGGGGTGGTAAGGTGAATGAATGAATGGATGGATGGACGGACAGACGGACAGATGGAGCGATGGATGGTGGTTAGACAAATGGATGGATGGATAGATGGATGGATGGATGGATGAAGAAGTGAATGGATGGATAAATGAATGGATGGATAAATGAATGGATGGATAGATGAATGGATGGATGGGTGAATGGATGAACGAATGGACAAACGGATGGATGGATAAATAGAGCTATCAATCACTTACACTTTGGAAACCAACCTTTAATTTAGTATGTGAATTTCTTGATTTACTGTATTTACTAAAACTCTTAGAACTTCTACTTTGATGTCGCTTGGACTGTAAGAAGAAGAGATGGTATTACTGCCGTCATTCAGCATGTTAGTTTACCACAGGCTATTGAATGCCACCAATACCCTTGGGCATGTGGTTCTATTTCAGACCATGTGTCATTCACTAGAGCGTCATTTCTTTGTTCAATGGTTGCGCATGAGAAATCACAATATGGATACATCTAATATGGAGAAAATATTATGCCCAAGCCGAAGAGGTCTACTGAGCAACTGGTAGCTTGCTAATTATCATAATATGTATAATATAAAATTTTTAATTTACCTCAGACTTCACTCCTTCAGGAATGTCGTCCTGCAAAGGAAATGTTAAGAGAACTGTTTTTAAGCATTTCCCTTGTTAGGGGCTGTTAATAATGTAGTCAATAGACCGTTTTCTCAAGATTGCATGAGCATCCAACTTGATGGGCCACAAAAATGAAAAATGCAAATTCAATTAAATTGAGAAGCCAGTTTTATATTTAAAGAGGAGAATAATCAATTTATGAATTCTTAGCGAAAAAAATTCATAGAAATGTATGATAATTCTCATTATGAGCTCCTGTTCTGGTGTCGTGGCCCGTCAAGTTCCTTAAATTTGGATGTGCACGCAATCTTAAAAAAGAAGTCTACTGAGGAATGTAGTGCATCTGATAATTCCTTGTGCCGCTGAGGGGGCCTGCTATGGCAAAATTGACATGGCCATCATTTACAGTAGTTAAGTATGCTTAGCTTTCAGAAATGCATGGGTGTTACTATGACTGCAGTTCTTTATTGTCATAACTATTAATGTTGTAATATGTTGTTACCACAGAACACTTTTCCTCAGTTGAGTGAGATCTCTGGCAATCATAGAGCTAACATATACTAAAATATAAAGTACATGTGGTCTAACTATAATGGTTTGTAATATAAGTTATTTATTGCTTTACCTCTTTGCATGGAGACACGCTACAATGTTTCATTGTGCATTGCCCATCACTGGCCCAGAATGGGCATGGTCTGTCTAGCTTTACCTTTGATAAAAAATAAAAATAAAAATATTTACCAATTTATTTAAAGTTAGGATTTTTGATGTCGAAATCATCTACAACAATGTTATGTGTAATAGTCCAGAAATTATTATACCCCTCCTCCCTCCCCAACAGAGGAAATTAGAATTTCTGAGGGGTAGGGAGGGGTAGGGGGTCAGAGAAAGAACAAAATTACAGAGTTTGCATGGAAGAAAATTGGAAATTGTATGAAAATTTCTGGGGATAGGGGTAGGGTTTTTTTAAAAATATTCCTCCATGGGAAGTAGCCAGGTATGAGTAATAATTTCTGGAACTTCACAATAATATTACAATATTAACTAGTGTGCCAATTTAGTACTTACCCTGAAGAATTTGAAATAATTTCTTTGTACAATTTCATTGATGATAGGATAAATATCTTTGTTAATTTTGTCCACTGTTTCTATGTCACAACAACATTCTTCAACTTTCCCTTTCAACTGCATAAAAAAAAAGAAAAAGTGAAATGAAATTATCAAAAAATATTGTTGTATGTGGAAGAAAATTTATTCCAAGTAGGCTGAGGAGCACTTCCTTCATATATATTTATACTCCTGAAGAAAACAGGAAAAAACCTTTATCGTTGAGAGATGTACTATATTAGCCACTCTGAGGTTGAAGAAAACACTGGATTCAGTTGGCATGGCAGTGCTTTACAGGACTGGTTTTTTCTTTACAATGCATTGCCATGCCAACTATGGCCAGTCTTTCCTTAGATTTGGAAGTGCTGATAACTTGGATTCATTATCACTGCAAGGAAGTTCTACTTCTACATTACTGTAACCTATCCTTGCTCCAATACATCAATCACCTTGGAAAAGCAATCCAAAAGTGTTTTCCACATACAGTTAAATAAAAAAACACATAAAAGTGTTTATTCACACAACTTTATCATCTATTTATTTCCCTCTTTAAATCCGTTTTCCACATACAGTTAAATAAAAAAACACATAAAAGTGTTTATTCACACAACTTTCTCATCTATTTATTTCCCCTTTTTAAATCCCTTTAAGATCCCTCTTTAGGAGTATAATAAAAAACACATTAATTTGAAAAGAATGCCTGTTCACATTTAGAGTCCAAATCCATTACCAGACTTAGATCAGCCCAGAGGCTTTTTTGGGGGGTTGGATACATTTTGAAGGTTTTTTTGTCGTTGAGACAACAAATTGTCTTTTAGCCTAGCTTTGCATAAACAATGCCATAAAAGGCAACAAAGTAGCTTGTTTGGTTAAAGTTAAACCAATAGGCTGACATGAATTAAGATAATGTCTAGCCCTCAGTATATAACACAAGAAAGCAATTATCTATCTTATGGCAAATTCCACACTCTGCAATGAATAAAATCTTCAAAAATACTGAAAATTACGGCAGGTGGGCTTTAGAGAGTCAGTGCAGTCTGTCAAAAATGAACTGAATAAATTTACAGCCAATTTTCAAAATTTCTAATTCATTTTTTATAGTCAAAATGAAATACATGGTCTTCACAGGTTTTACAATGTTATCTAACTAATGTTATTTCTAATGCTGAGTGGAAATTTGTTTTTTGTTATTATATGAGATGTTTTTTTTTAAATTAGAAAAAAATTTTTTTTAAATTTTTAAGAATAAAAATGGCAAGAATACCATCTGCTGCTTGTAAGTACCCTGAAGTCAAAATAAAAAGGATTATTAATGTAAAAATATATAGAGAATAATATTATTTCATTTCTCATACCTATTATTATTTTCGATGCAAGCAAAAAAATTTATTTCTAGTGTAGAACATGTTTTACAAGATGGTAATATTTTGTGCAAGTTTTTGAAGTTTATTTTATTTATTTTTCATTCCTCTCAGCTTGAGGCTAGAAGGGTCGATAATATGTAAAACTACATGCATAATAGCTGGTTAAATGTAGAAGTCACCAGCTGGAGAAAAAACATTGAATATTCTCAAAATTATACCCATAACTTTTTGAAACATTTAAGTTAAAACCATGAACCGTTCTAGGAATTTTAGTTAGAGTATTTCATACATGGGTTTTATCGAAAACTTAAATTTTCTGATGTGTCCAATTAAGTTTATAGTTATACTCGATGTGTGAATCATCACTTTTAGCTTATATTATTTTAAGCTTTTAGAACGAAGTTTGATCTAAAAAATACACTTAAAGCTTTATTTAGATTTAAGTTAAACTGATATTTACCTGGAAAACAATTTTATTAACAACGAATGAGGCTGATAATATTTTTGGTACCTGAGAAGGCGAACCTCTTCGATGTCATAACAGCTGACAGCTACAATATTACATCTTGTACAAAGATAAAAAGCAAATGACGAATTCGTACATCGAATCAGATTTTTTTAAAGGAAAAATATCTTGGTTTCAATATTTGGTCACTTTTTCTTATCTTGAATATACTTTACAGTCAAAACATTTGAACGATCCAATGGTATGACGCTGGTAAAATTACTAGTATCTGATATCAATCGACAGTAACAAGACGAAAGAGTGTAAAAAACACGTCAACATACAATAAAAACCTAAGATCCCACTTATACAATAAATAATATACTGTCAAGCATCAGGTGAATACTTTGACAATGTTTATAATTTCATTCAAAAAATATTTTTACCAAAACAAGTTCGCAGAGATCAGAATTTTTTGAGCATGAGTTAACGACGTACCTGACAGAAACACTGATCTTTGAACGATAAAACTCTACTACCAAATACACACACGAAGTAGATAAGCTCTGGAGCTATTCGTATCCTCATATTGGGATTCAAAACTCTCAGCAGTCCTTAAATGAAGGCTAATCGCTGACAAATAACTCTAGTAGTTCATTTCACATACTTATGGCCCGGTGAAATAAACATTAGTTGTACGCATGTGTAATGTGATTTACCGCTGGCCAAGGGTCGTGGACTAGTTTGATTGGATACGAAGTTTGAAAGTAGTCTCTTCTTGGCACTTGTCCCGAGAGCCCCGGGAAAAATAATGATGCAACGATTATGCTTTGCTGCACGATTTCATTGATATTGGTGAAGTTTTTTAAGTGATAATTAGCTACACTGATGCGAGCAGGAACAAAGGAACTTCCGGTTTTTCCTTCGGAAGGGTTCATGTGGGGGCGTTTCGGCAGTTTCCGTTGTTTCATCTTGAAGAAATTTCAATCGTACGCTACCAAAGCCTTTTTTGTTAATTTTTTAGCGCTTCAAAAGAACAGTAGGGTTGCTGACTAACAAAATTTGCAGTTGATTTGGCAAGTTTTGTACAAAACGGAAAGGCGTTGCCTTGACAACGGAATTACCCCTGTTGCTTGAAGAGGCGTCCATTCAATCAGACTGAAGACGCTAGATATATTTTTGGCTTTTTGGAAAGTGGGCTGTTTAAATATCAATAGTGTCTAAATTGAATAGAATTGGCCAACTTGGCAATAGTTCTAAATTAATCTGATCTGTCAACTGCAAAAGTTGTTTCATTTAAAATTGGCATGCATTGCTGCAATATTACCTCTTTTTTTGGTAATCCAAGAAACTTGAGAGAAGAATATAATTGTCAACTTTTGACACTTTCCATGACAATATATTTTTACCTTCTCTTTCGTGTCTTTGCAAACCGAATTAAGTCCGTGCCACGCATTTGAATAACTGACTTAAAAAACAAAAAGCCCGACAACTTTTGGATATAAATTAGTCGCCTGAGGGCCGGGTTGTTCAAAGCTGGATTAGCGCTTATAGGTCTTATTAAGAGTCAACCCAGGATTAGCAATAATCGGGCTTTGAACAACTGGGCCCTGTTTAGAAAAGAATTTAGGATAATTTGCACAATAATTTTGCACCAAGAGAAAATAAACAAAGAAAAGGAATAGCTGCGCCCCATTACGAGCACTCTTTGGTGCTATTTCTAGTTCATTTCTCAGTTAGTACCCCTTTGTCAGGTTTGGTGTGTTCCTTCAGGTTTGGATCCACACCTTACCAGATCCACAGGGAACCCAATTTGAATAAAAATAAAAATGCCTTTTTTGAATCATGTATTCAAGAAAGAGATAACCGCGTTCTCCTTAGCAAAAGCAATCAAGAAAATTAAGTTAGAAGTGCAGCGAAAGTAGATACAGCGTATTTTCTCGCGCTTTGTTTTTCCCATGGTCCTCGTTAACTATCTTGCCTTGAAGTAAACAAATTCATGAAATTAAAAAAAAAAAGTTTTTATCTTCACTTTACAATTTTATTTAAACTAGTCGCCCTGTACACAGCAGGAAAATCTACGTCTACAGGGAAAATGTTACATCCTTGAAGTGTGAAACTAAGGCAAAAGTACCTGTTTCAGCGATCCAATCGTAGACAGGTGACCATGTAATGTCAATCAGAACTGATAGACCTCAATATCCTGATAGTAATAGCAAAATGAACGATAATGTAAAGTAAAATGACTCAAATTAACAAATATATGGAAAAAAAWTTTTTTWAAATTATAATAAATTACAGATTTACTTGRCATATTTTGCCATAACTGGAAAACATATTTTTGATAGAAATACGTACTTTTATATCACAGTTACGTCCACCTACTAATATAGATCTGATGATCTGCAAGACACTGAATAACCTTTCACAGATCACGGTAAATATAAAGGCCTGACGGACGGAAAAACAAACAGCGAGATGGCCAAAGAAGGACAGTGATCTCATGGGCTCGAGCTGGGCTTCTTTGACCTTGAAGTTTGAGAAGAAGAAAAATGCAATACTATTTCTTTTAATGAGGAATTTTCGTCAATTGGAATAAAAGTATGCGTGAAGTACTGCGAAGGCTTTCACATAAACGCCAACTACGCTTTGGAAAATAATTCAGGACTTCTAAGAAGGCGAAAAGATTTCAAATTGGATCTTTCGCACTGTGTTTCTTCTATACTCAGCCAACTTTTCTTCGTGAGATACATTTACTTTTTTGAAGAGTGAATAATTTTTTCTACATGCTGGAAGTGGAGAAGAAAGGAAACGATGTACAGATGGCTTCTGAGGACAAAAACAGAAAGACAGATGTAGATAAACAAGAATCGACGTCTGGAGATGAAARTAAAAGCAGATCGCTGTACAGTTTGGTGATACCGTGGAAACCCAGCAATGGCGACCTCACCGGGACACACATCGTTTATCTCGTAGTACTTTTATTTTGTGTAACCTCAGCTAGTCTTCTATCGATACCTGTTATAGAAAACATACTAGKGGACAAATCCTTTGTATGTAATGATGGAAAAGCAGATTGCCTTGTGAAGTTGTCGCATCTTGTAACATTCAGGATTGGTATCGGATCTGCGGATTTCTTCTTTATCATGATGGTCGTGCTATTCAAGGCTGGCTTAACATCATGTCGTAGTGGCCTCCACACTGGAGTATGGATTCCAAAGAGTATTTTATTCATTCTTATTGGATATATTATGTATATGGTGCCACACAACATCATAGATACGATCTGGGGATATCAGGTTATTGCTGCGTGGTTCATCTTCTCTATCATCCAACTTGCCTTCCTAGTCGACTTTTCGCGCGCATTTAGTAAAGTTCTCAGACTTCAAAACTCATCAGAAAACCCCAGTTTTATCCTACTCAAAGTATTTACAGCRTCTTTGATTGCTCTTCTCTTCTCCGTGGTGGGATTAATTTATATTCTCTTTGGATTCAAARACAATTGTAGAACAAATTGGATCCTGACAACTATAAATGTCATTATTTGTATCACCCTATTTGTGATTTCATTCGTTATATCCAAGAACAAAGGAACATCAAATATTTACCAAAGCCTTGCCCAGACAGGTCTAGTTGCTGGATATGTATTGTTCCTGACGTACTCGGCTGTGTCCCACGAGCATAGTCTGTGCACTCCTGATATCTTTCGRTTTTTCGATAGTGCATCAAGACTTGGCCAGTACATTCATTCACTGATTGGAACACTTGTGACGTGCATGTTGCTAAGTTACGTTACATTAAGGAGCAGTGAGCCCAATCATTTTAAGTTCAACAGAATAAYTATAACAAACCAATTAGAGAGTGACCCACAACTGGACGATTTAGAAAAACCAAAAGAGTTGTACAGTTTTTCATTCTTTCACTTTGTTTTGATGTTGGCTTCTCTTCATGCAAGTTCGACGTTCATCGCTCCACATGAAGTTGATACCGTTACTAAGGCAACAATGTCCTGGATATTTCTCGTTGCTAAGAGCCTCGCGAGTGTTCTGGTCGCGTTGATTTACTTATGGATTCTTGTAGCTCCGACAGTGTACCCCGAAGAAAACACCRCCGAATTTTTCACTCTTTTAAAATCGCTTTTCAAATTCATCGGGAAATCTTTGTATACGCTTTTCTTCAACGGGTGCTCGGGAATCAACCGATCGATATCCACTCGCTTCATCTACACATTTTTCTTCATCTGTGGAACAATAACATGTACCTTAATGTACCTCCCTGGAGTCAGGCATTCTTTACAAACGAACTCATTCTTCTGTAAGAAGATCAGCAAGCTAGGTAACTGCATGAGTCATGATCCAGGATACCTTGCTGTCTACCGAATCTGCTTCTCCATGGCAACATTCTACCTGTTGTTCGCTATTGTACTATACGCCGTTAGGACGTACGCTGACCCGCGAGCTATGATTCACAACGGCTTATGGTTCGTTAAGTTTGTTTTATTTTTCGGTCTACTCGTTTGTACTTTCTTCATTCCACTCGAGTTCAGCCGGGTGTGGACCTACACTTGTCCTATAGGAACGTTCTTCTTTATTGTTGTCCAAATGATCCTTACTGTAGACTTCACACGTTTCCTAAACACTGTTATGTCGAATAGATTCGAAGCCACTGGTAACAAGGTGTGGTTTAGATCCATACTCGTAGCTACTATCAGTCTATACGTCGTTTCCTTTGTCTCTGTCGTGTGCTTCTATATCTATTTTGTTGGAGATGCAGGACATTGTAAAACGAATAAAACTTTCATCACCATGAACTTTATTCTTTGTGGTATCGCTTCGGTAATATCAATCCACCCGGTTATTACAGACACTGGTTTGTTCCAAGCAGCTGCTGTCACCTTTTTCACCATGTACCTGACTCTCTCAGGCCTGTCATACAACCCTAATGAAAGATGTAATCCACTGGCTTCATATGTTTCCGAAGTTGACATGCGACCAAGTATCAACGTGCAGGCAATCATAGATCTGGTTCTCACTGTATTATTACTGGTATATTTTACCCTTCGAATCGTTCCTATATCAAGCAATCTCCGTAAGATAGCAGTTATGTCTTTACATCTTATATGTGGACAAAGAGGACAGTTAAAAACGAATGACTCGGAGAAAAATGACGAAATGAAACCACAGGCTTCCCATAACAGGAATGCAGATGACGAGAGATTTTCGGAGAATGAAGCAGGTGATCCTGTGCCTTACAGTTATTCCTTCTACCACTTCGTCTATTTCTTAGCCAGTCTTCACGTTACCATGGTGCTAACGAATTGGTACACTCCCAAGAATGGCACGCAGTTCAAGCTGTATATTAACTGGGCTGCAATGTGTATTAAGATGACTGCCAGTTCCTTGTGTATTTTATTGTACATCTGGAGTCTTGTGGTACCAATATTAGCATCCCATAAATCCGAGCCTACAACAAACGAGACATAACAACACAACTACGTCTTGCTTTGAAATAGCATACACTTGGCTACCACGCATTTCACGAATACCGCGCGAGAGAGATGGGACTCTAATACACGTATCCCAAACTATCTAATATTTTACGAAATTTGTAACAACATATAACAAAGTTTTACGTTTAATTTTTGGCGGGAAATGATGTTTCACTATTTTGCAGTCCCTTTAGTCCCATCCCTTAGCGGTAATGACCAGAGGCAATGTCCCAAGTTGCTATAGAATTCAATATTCAAATATTAACAATAAACAAAGAATCCGTAACCAGTGATGATTGATAACTGGAATCCATTACCAGTATTTTGGTAAGAGGTATTGGAATTCTTTCCACAAATGGAGATGGAACTCAATAAAACAACTTGATACTGATTGGACAAGAGGAGTACAATTAAATCCCAAATTGTACTCTGTAGAGTCCCAATTACGTTGCTCAATTTTGTTTAAGTGTATTATAAACAAAACGAATTGCACGATCTTCTCGTACAGTTTGAATCTTATAGATGCTCGTGTTGTTTTGAAAGTTATCAAATTAGACTCGCCTAAAAGCTCGTCCAATTTTTAAAAAATTCAAAACATCACTCGTACTTATAAATTCCGAATTGTACTCGAGATCGTGCGATTTCCTATACAAATCAAATTAAGTCACAATCGTCCAACGCAACGCCCCCCCCCCCCAAAAAACCCCCCCAAAAAAAACCCCGTGTAATGAAAAAAGGAATATTCACTTATAATCACAGTGAAGATGACGTGACGCACACGTCGAAACATGTATGTGTAGCGAACATTAAAATTATCGCAATCATCAAAAATAGTACTTATATACTTATATAGCTTATCTCATTCTATTGCTATTTCGCGTAGCTTTAGTTAGTTGATCGAGTGTCAATCCCCCAATCTACGTCCTGTCAAAACTTGTGGACGTCAATAATTGTGGTCGTAAATGCGGCCTTACAGATACGACGTCCAAGCTAAAATGTCCCTTCGTTCTGTCTACCGAGACAACTGACACATCCACGATGTCCCCTATGGACATTTCGCTGTGGTTTCGTAGCCGTGATTGGTGTATAAGACCGTCACGCCCAACACCACAGTCAACAAAGGCGCCAAATGTGGTGACATTGCAGACGCGTCCTGTCAGCTGCGTTCCCGTATGAAGGTCTTCGAACAGCATGATACCTTTGCGGAATAGAGGCTTCTCGAAAGCTGAAAAAGAAGGTTGCGCGCAATTTTGAATACCTTCAATCTCTGTTATGATTGTCCCACGCTGTGAAAAAGCTCTTAAACATTAAATAAATAGAAAACGCGCGCGTGTGCTGTGTGCAGTTATAAAGCACGCAGGGGTCGGTAAAGCACGAGAGAAGTCTAACGGAGTGCTCCTGGAAAGGGCTCTACTGAAAGTGCGCACGCTTGCTGTGTGGTTTCATAAAGCACGCACTCCTAACTAATCAGAACGCGAGATTTACAAAAGTTATTTCATAAAAAAATTTAAAACTTACTTGCTCGTATATCGTGGTCTGTTGGTTGTCTGAGGCCATCGATTATGAGGTGTAGGGTGGGTTCACCGACACCAAAACTTTCAGCCAAGTTTCTAACAGCTATTTAACAAGAACAATAGAGCTGATAAAAATGGAACTATATCACATCGCGGCCATCTTTATAGAGGCTTTGCACCATCACGTGATGGCAGCCATAACAGGAGGCAGGAATAACTGATCAGGTTTTATCTGATTTACATGAGAAAGAATTAATTTTCCCCCAGGAGAACGACTTCTATTGCTGTGCCTCCTGTCATGGCTGCCATCACGTGATGGTGCAAAGCCAATATTCCGTATGAATTAATTTTTCAGCAAGTACTTGAATGCAAGATGACGCGTGGTGGAATCTGTTGTTCAAACCAATATGGCTGCAGGATGAGAAAGACCCATAAACCTTTGTCAAGTGTCTGAGGTATAGTAGGGGTTTGTCAACTTGTTTTCAGTTATATTATCAACACCAGCGGTGGGACTATTTATCCAATGTACTTACTTCGTTTGGTAAGAAGTGCATCGATAGCAGTCTTCATACTTGGCTTGCCGATGTCCTTTCCTTGAGTTTTTGCAAGAGTCATTAACCTGGAAATGAAGCAAAGTATGAAGTTAGTGTTGTTAAAAAAAGAACAAACCAAAGACAGAGTGAATGAATGAATGAACAAGTAAATAGAAGGAACAAATAGACTGATGAAGGCAAGAAGGGGCACAAAGACAGGAAGACACGAAGGTGCAAAGGCATGAAGGCACGAATGGATGGATGGATGGAGGGAGGGAGGGAGGGAGGGATGGATGGATGGAAGAATGAATGGATGGATGGATGGATGAAAAAATGAATAATTAATAGAACGGTTGCCAAGTTACCAACAATATAATAACCTTACCTCTCGGCAACACCATACGATTCTGGATGAATGAACGTCATGTCAAGAGGGTTGTACTCTGCTCCACCATCTTTGCTCGATCTTCTCGCTTTTTTTCTTTTGCTATCTTTTGTTTTACTATTTTTACGTTTCTTCCCTACTTCTTCCACTTCATTATCGCTCTCTGTCACCTCAATCACCTCGACAGGTCTCTCGTAACCACCACTGCCATCACTTTGGTCAGCGGATGGTAAAACCCGCAGAAACCCAACACACTGTTCATAGGACTTTTTACCAATCCCCTTACACTGCAAGATTTCTTCACGATTTTGGAATCTCTTATTTCGGTTCCGCCATTCAATGATACTTTTAGCCTTGTTTTTGTTAAGTCCCGCCAGACGCCTGTCGACCGATAGAAATAACACTCAATACATCCGGTATTTGGATATGTAAAAGTAAGTTAATGTTTTCTTTTGAAAACACAATATACTTTCCGATGCCTTTTGGTCCTGCGTCCATACTAAACGATTAAAAACGCATACATTTCATAACGCTCTCCAGAGGGACATTTAAAAACGGAGGCCTATCGTATTTTTTTGCGCATACACAGATGATGATATTTCATCCTTCCCAATCGTATCTGSGTTTTGGATAATGTGGATGCTATGACAATGCTAATGTAGACGAGAAGCTTTTGTTGCGTTTTTCGGTGAAACGAAAACGGAGCGTTTTGAAAACGTATTACAGTGTAGACGTGGCCTGATTTTTTGGGTCGTTTAGTAAACATTTCACACCACAGGGATCCCATTTAACCTACTTTAGAGTATTGACACCTGCAGCATTGATATCAACTCCCACGAAGCTAACACAGTCCGTCAGAACACCTTCCACCGCACCTCGTAATAAACTCTCGGGAATATCGTGCTGTCGCGTAACAAACAAACAAACGTTTAAACATTTGGCTCCTTGAAAGAAAGCCGGTATGCGCAAGAAGAATAGCGCAGCGCAGCCGTGACGTCATAAAAACGAAGACAAAGACGAAATTCGGACAAACAAACTTACAAGTTTACTTTCAGCAAATAATTTTCACAGCCGATCGCAGTTGATCTTAGTTTACATAGGTTATTATTGTAACTTTGAGTAAAAATAATAAAATCGGTTCGTATAATCCTCGTAGCGGCTAAACAGAATGCAATGTTTGTCCGAATCTTTAAGCTATTTTTAGAATCAGCGCGCTGCGCTATTGTTCTGGGGGACAAAACAATAGGCCGTCTTTTCGTGTGCTATCGTCTTGTCCTCCAGAATAATTTCTCTCGGGACTCAGTGCAAGGAGCCATTTAGTTGTTTGTGTACCATTAAAAAGAGTGCGTGAACAGAATAAAGGTTTAATACGTGGAATACTGACCTGATACATTCCAATCCCAAGATGTTTGGGTTCTATTTTGACCAGCTCTAAAAGCGGATCTTGGAATCTCCTCCCTATGGATACTGACATAAAATACAAGAAGGTTCAAATGAGCATGGATAAGCAAATAAAAATAGCTCAGTAGAGAAGACGATATTATGGAAATGTTATTCACAATTCATGGTTCCGAATCAGAAACAAACGAACCATGCARTGACCGTGGTTGAGCTAGCATGCGTGCAGTCGGACTTTTTCTCGTATAGTACAAAGACCACTTGCAGCACTTCGGAATGCTGCTCAATTTAGAGGACAAAACAATAGGTTTCCAATTCTCATGAGATTGAAGTTCTATTTTTTTTGTCTTCTAAATTGAGCTGCTTTGACGTCACACTATGCAAGGGCTCTATACGAAACTATACGAGAGAAAAGTCCGGCTGTACGCCGGCTACGGTTGAGGTTGTCCCAGTGAAATTAAAACGTTGTCTCACAAACAACTAGAAAAATATCAGTCCTCAAGGATACTATGAAAGACACTATTGTTAAATTCATAAGAAACTTCCGTCTTGTTTTCTCCTAGGAAAGTAAACCTTGTTTTCTCCTAGGAAAGTAAACCTATATTTCAGCAATCAGAGTTTTAAATTCTGAGATGTTCTCTAGATATAATCTTAAGCTTGTGGGACATAGCAACGGTAACTAAGGGAGACAGGACCATGAATGATCGAATAACAAGAAAATGTTATAAAGTTAAAGAAAACAAGGTCTAGTTACCAGCTCCTCTCATGCTAACGTCAAGGTCTGGCAGCTCAGCCTTTGCTTCTTCAGAGGCGCTATAAATAGACGCACCGTTCTCACTAACAATACTGCAACCAAAAGAAAAAGGAATAAATAACTCCCTTATCTTTTATCGAAATCACTTCTGGGCTAATCTAAGTCAGGGCACGGCTAACTCACAGATCGATCCCTGAAACAACCTCTGGGCTGATCTAAGTCAGGGCACGGCTAACTCACAG